CCTGGGTGTGGTGGTGCACACCTGTAATCCCAGCACTCAGGAGGCTGAGGCAGGAGGATCACTGTGAGTTCAAGGCCAGCCTGAACTACATAGTGAGACATTGTCTCAATAAAAAAAATTTATCTTCACATTCTTCCAGAGAACCCCTGGAAATGGCAGATAATATCATTTGAATTGAGAAATATGTAACCTCTCTTTCCTCTGGAGCCAAAGGAAATTTAAGTCACTTAATTGTGTTGTGTTCTTCCCAAAAAATTAGCAGTGGCTATTGTCTGCCATAAGAATTAGCAGAACCTTGGGCCGGGGATTTAGCTCAGTGGTTTCGCCACCTGCTGTGCAAGTGCAAGGACCCAAGTTCGATCCCCAGTACCAAAAAAAAGAATTAGCAGAACCTTCTTAAGTGTTAAGGTTTTTTTTTTTTTTTTTTGGTACGAGGATTGAACTCGGGACCTTGCGCTTGCAAGGCAGGCACCGGAACCACAGAGCTAAATCTGCAGCCTAAGTGTTAAGGTCTTTGTGTCCCATTCCTGTTCCTTCTGACTCCAGTCCCCACTTCTCTCCTCCCTCCTTCTTCATCTTAGCCCTGCTCCTTCCCTGCTCTACCCCCAAGGTTCCAAAAACTACAGGGAAAACCCCCTTCAGAGTCAGCTCATGTCACTAGACTAGAACCCTTTGTGGCACCTGTGCATGTGGCATCGCAGTTCCCAACAGTGTCCTGGGAATCAGACAATGGGTGTTTTTCGTGACCCTGTCCGTTACTAAGTGTGACCATGAGCAAGGATTTAGCCTTTCTTAGGGTAAAAGTGACCTCTGCCTCATGGAGTTCTGTTAGGACTGAATGACACACTGCAAATAAAGCGCTTCTACAGTGCCTGCCACGTCAGAAGCACTCCAGAAATGCCACTGTAACCAATATTATTACGAACAACATCCTTGGTTAAGCTATGTTTGCCTCTAACAAGTTTCTGGGCCGTTTCCATGTCCCATAGGTTTTGGCTGATGGCTTGAGGACTGGAGTGACTGAATGGCTCGAGCCTCTGGAAGCAAAATCTGCCCTTGAACTTGTGCAAGAATTTCTAAATGGTGTTTTCCTAACTCATTCTTGTTTGTTTTCTTTTTTTTGGGGGGGGGGTTTACCGGGGAATGAACTCGGGACCTTGTGTTTGGCAAGGCAGACGGTGGAACCACTGAGCTAAATCCCCGGCCCCCTTCGTTTTCTTAATTGAGAATTTGTATATTGCTAGATGTAAATATTACTTGTCTCTAGGCTTAACATGCCTTTTGATTGGGGTACACTACTGAAGCTATGAGGTCAGACGTGGTTGGAGGGACAGCTTTTGTTCTGAAGTACTAATTACAAAGACCTAATTAATTCCTTTTTTTTTGGGTACTGGGCATCGAACTCTAGACCTTGCACTTGCGAGGCAGGTTGCAGAACCACTGAGCTAAATCCCCGGCCCCAAGTAATTCTAAAACTTAGTAAGATTTAGTTTGAAATTTATATAATACAACCACCTCTGCAGCTGTAGGAAAGGAGGGAAGGAACCGTAAGCTTTGAATACTGTACTTGCCTCTGCCAATCCTGTGTGTCAGGAACTCTTGCTGTTACCCCAGTCCTGCCCCACACCCTGTACTTCCTGGGGGGAGTTCAGCAATTTACTAAAATCCCTAGCTGTGCTTCTCCTGTTCCCGTTTCCCACTGGGAAATAGGATTATGATGGAAATAGTTTGGAAAGCAGAAAAGTAAAATGAAGTTAATAAGCTTATGCCACTTTCTAGAATTAAATAAGCTGGATGGATTTGGTGATTCTACAAAAAAAGACCCAGAGGTAAGTGATTACTAATTACCACTTGGAAATGTATACTGGAATTGCTTTTAAAATTTGATCATACTATTATTATTCTCATACTACTCACATGGATCTGGTACGGTCATGTGTATTGCTAGTTGTTACATAGTAGAGAAGTGAGATGAATTCGCTAATACACAATAAGAGGGTGTTGCTATAATGTATTAATAGACTATAATATGGTATCACTAAATTAAATTATGCATTCTCATTTGACAAAAACAAAAATGGAGGCAAAAGTAATTTGATAAATATTTTGTGGAAGGAAAGCTGAATGGTTGCCTTCATTCATTACAGTTTTAAGACAAATTTGAGTCCAGTTGTTCATAATCTGTTGAGGTGTGTGTGTTCTTATAAGTAAATGAAGCCAGGCATGGTGATGCAAATTTATAATCCCAGCACCCTGGAGGCTGAGGCAGGAGTATCACTGCAAGTTCAAGGCCAGCCTGTACTACATAGCGAGACCCTGTCTCAAAAAAAAAAGGTAAATGAGAAGTTGTAGAAAATGTCCTTTCTTGTGTGTTTATGAATCCACAGTTTTTCAACAGTATTTAAAAGCTTAGGTTATTTCACTTTAAAATTAAATTAAATAAGTAAGCCAGATGTGATGGTGCACGCCTATAATCCCTACTCTCAGAGGCCGAAGCAGACAAATTGTGCTGAAAGTTTGAGGCTACTAGCCTGGACTTTGTAGCAAGTTCAAGACTGGCCTAGACTATGTGGCAAGACCCTTAGATGAGTAACAATCAAAAAACCTGAGCATTTTCTGACACCTGTGTCTTTTTCAGACAGTGAACCACGATGCTGCTGCAGTTGATAGGTCTGTTCTTATCATGGTGCGGGGTGATCTTGATTTTGCTGAACAACTTTGGTGCAAAATGAGCAGCAGTAGGTGTCCATTGTGACTTAAATTGTTCATATTGTGTCTTGGGTTTATTTTAAAGTCTTTTGGAAATAATTAAGTGTGTACTGTCCGTCCTCTGTGGAAGTCTGTTTCCAGTTTTATCAAATTCATTGCTAATAGTGGATTGGCACATTCTGCTCAAGAACTGTACTAAGGCAGCCAGGCCTGTAAATCCAGGATGTGAAAGACTGAGGCAGGAGGATTGCTATGAGTTTGGGGCCAGCCTGGACTGCATAGCAAGACCCTGTCTCAAAAAACCCCAAATAAAGAAAAGAAAGAAAGAAAAAGAATTGTTTTAAGGCAAGGCAATCCATACATCTATTCTTTTCTGCCTTTTAAGGTATAAGACTTAGTTGTTTTTTATGATATATTGATAGGACCAAGACATACCTTAATAAAGTTATAATCATTAGAAAAGCAAACACTATTTCTTAGTATTTTACTAAATATTTATTTTGGGGCAATGTGAGTTTGATGTTTTTCTTTAAAAGTACCTTAAATCTGTGTTGGGCGTGTAGCTCAGTGGTAAAGCACTTGTCTCGTATGTATAAGGCCCTGGGTTCAGTTCCTTAGCACTGCAAAAAAGAAAAAAAATACATTTAATCTTTTTTTTTTTGACCCCAAATTTTTCCTCCCTCATCCACAAATACAGATTTTTCTATTTCTACACTTGATCTTAGCCAAAAGGCCAAGAAGCAATGAGATTCTTCTATTTCATTTGTATAACTAAGGTGGATGACATTTTCACGTTTCTGTAGAAATGTGAAAATCACATTAGACTGACTTGGTTTTCTAGGTGTGGTTTCCTATCAAGATTTGGTGAAGTGCTTCACACTGATCATGCAGAGCCTCCAGAGAGGTGACATCCAGCCGTGGGTAGGTGGAATGTGTTCTTAGGGGCCTGGCCCGATGACTAAAAACACAGGCACTGGAACCGACTGCCTGAGTTTGTATTTCTGCTTCGCTGCTGTCTGGCTGTATAAATATGGGCAGATTCCTTTACTTCTATGTACCCTAGTGTCCTTCTGTTTAAAGGTAGAAAGGATACCTACTTTAGAGTGCTGTTTCAGGGTTAACTAACTGATGTAGAGCACCTCGTGCCTGGCTTGTAGTTAAGTGCTGTTCTGAGTATTTTCTTATACCACTGATGAATAAAAGCTGGCATATTCTTTCTGAAAAGCCATTTTGATGATGTATTGAGATCCTCAGTGTAGCCTGCCGTCCGAACCAATAATTCTTTTGTTAGACTCCATCATAAACTCATACATAAAAATGTGTCAAGATTTTATGTGTCAGAGTAATCATCATGACTTCATTTGTAGTACTGAAGAATGGTAAATGGCCTACATTTCCCTTGTTAATGGAATGGCTGTGTGAATAATGATACAGCTATGTAATGGCAAGTGGAATAGTTGGTAAAAAATGGCGCTGACAAATGATGTAGAGAGATGCTTATAATGTTCAGTTTATAAAACGGCATATACACAATTATATATGCAAAAATCTTAATGGTTACCTCTGGCAGAAGGGTTACAATGAGTATTTCCAACTGCATTATACATTTCTGTACTTCATGAATATTCTACAGTAAATTTGTACTTCGTTTACAATGAAGACAAAGCTAAGTAAAAACTTAAAAACAAAAAGAGTTCTTATTTATTAGGAAATATTTAAAATAATGTGGCTGCCAACTGATGATTACAAAAGTTAAGAACTTTCATAGATGTATGGGACCCTGTGTTTTAGACCCTGATTTCAAGACCCTGGTTTCAGGCCCCAGCACCACCAAAAAAAAAATCAGCTTTCATCAGTGTGGACAAAGGTAGACTGCAGAGCAAAGGCATGAGCTCTGCCTGACTGGACGTTCGTGATTCTGGGCATTTACATCGAGGGCATTGAAGTTTCCTCCTGAGAATTTCTGTGAGAATGAAATGTTTACATGTAAAATCCTGCCATGTGCAATGAGAGCAACCCTAGTGAAACTGGTTTTAAAAAAGAAAATGGAAAAAATTATGCTAAAAATGAAGGTAATATAGGGCCGGGGATTTAGCTCAGTGGTTCCGCCACCTGCCTCACAAGCACAAGGTCCTGAGTTCAATCCACAGTACCAAAAAAAAAGAATTCTTGGGCCAGGGATTTAGTTCAGTGGTTCTGCCGCCTGCCTCGCAAGCGCAAGGTCCTGAGTTTGATCCCCGGTACAAAAA